TCAATATTATTTTTTCCTAATTTTTATTAGAAATTAATGTTAATATTTTTTCAAGAAAGATGTAGATTTTTTAAATGACAAGACAAATAACAAATTTATTAAACACATTAAATTTTACGTTATATGAGTCTATATGTTTTAAGGCTAAAAGTCTTGAATCAATATGAGAAGTTCAAGCTTTTCAAAAAAAAAAAAAAAATGAGAAGTTCAAATTTCTAAATAGTCATAATTGAATAAATTAATTTAATTATCATTAAAAAAATTAAAATTAAAGGATTAGATAATTATCTTGAAAAATGTGAAAATAAATATGTTTTAGTATGAGGATATCTAATTTTAATCACATAATAAATGAATTTAAATAAGTCTAACACTATGATTCATCATCTTATATAATTGATAATAAACATTCTAATATTTATAATGCTAAGACATTTTAATTTTTTTTTTTATCCTCTTTATATCTTTTTATTGAAGTAATAATATCGACTTTGTCATTTTCTATTGCCTACCTAACCATTTATCATCAATGAGTTAGGACAACTTTTGAAAAGGAGGGAGCACAGAGGAGGGAGTAAGATTTAATTTTATTCAGCATGCATAAAAGTCTTCCTTCCCCCCATGGATATGATACATGTTGTACTTATCTTTTTGGAAGAAATTCAGGTGGAGGGTAGAGCAAGGGGCCATCCAAATTTCAGAATAATTTACATGCATCCAATAACAACAGTATCAAATTCCCTTTCTGATATAGTAGTTGCGGATCATGTTTTCAAGACATGACAAAGAAACTTCACCCAAAAAATAAGGTTTTTCATAAAATAGAACGTACATTTTTTTTTTTTTTTATCTTGATTGAAAAATTGAAGGCAATTATCTATTATCCCTTATCTCACTTCACCTATATGTTATTTTACTTAAATTCAGAATCTCTTACTTCTAGTAGAAGGAGATGACAATTGAATTATTTAGTTCGTTGACAAAATAAAAAGCAAAATATATATAGTAAGGGGTTAGTGCTTATCCGCCTTACCTCTAAAAAATTAAGAGAAAAAAGGACAACAATCACTTTAATGCATGCTTTAAAAATATGATAATTTAATCTTTTTTAATAAAAATTTATTGAAATAATATAATTTTGAAATAATTTTTCTCATAATTTTTAGTAAGTAAGGTTAATAGGTACTATTTTCATATAAGGAAAACGTGCTATAAAGTCTCATTCAAAAATTCAGTGCTGAAATTTGTTGGTTTCAATTAATAGTTACTCCAGTTACACGTTTTAAAATATTACAAGAAATTATTCAACCCCAAGCCAGGCTCGCAACTTTGGTACATATGGTAAGAAAAATAATTTATATAACATCTAATTCAATATTTCAACATACCTTACAACATTTATTAATTTAGCTATTAAATTCAGTAATTTTTAATTTCTTTTACTTTTGGTTCAAATTTATAAAAAAAAAATATTAAATAAATATATTAAATAAAAAAAATATACTAATTATTACCTATATAATAATGATGCAGTTTTTACTAATTTGAGGAACCACCAAATTGCCCATACCCCAGCAATGGCGATATATTCTTCTTATGCGGCGAACTAGATTCCCTCATGATATATCTGATTTCACCGTTTGATCCCTATCAGATGGCCGATATTTATTTCTTGTAAAGGGGAAAGTGTAAGTGACAGTGAGGAGATCAAGAAAACGTAAACAGAAAGTAAAGTGGGGGGTGTTTTCTATGATATTGGCTTTGCTTGCAAGATTGGTTTCAAACCCATATATACCCACCTGTTTTGTATAAACAATCTAGAAATGGGATTTGACTCACTGACCCCCACCTTATGATTTATGGAAAATTCTCCATGATCTCTTATACTAATTTAATTCACACTCAAATATATGTATCACCACAAAAAGGCCTAAACTTCAGTGATGACAATATATATTTTGTACTTCAACTTGCAAAAGTACTCACATTGGTTTCTTGGCTTTGAAGTAGTTGATTGATTGATTAATTAATTAATCAACTTCGACAAGCCTTTTTGCCCATTTTAAGTTTTGTGGCATGGAACTGATCTTTTGCCAAATGCTCAGTGATTTGCTCATAACCAACTCAAGTTTTACTAAACCATAATAGTGAGTTATTATCCCATCTTTACTTTGAGATTAAATAAATTCAAAAAAAAAAAAAAAAGAGTAAAAATGGTATGTTATCAAGCTATCTTCTTTTTAATAGAAAAATGAAGTTCAACTTATATAAATTATACACCTATAACTATTTATAAAAAATGGTCTTTAAATGAAGAGCCTTCCTTCTTTCCTTCTTTAAAAGTAATTGACAAATTAATCTTATTTAAACTCGAAAACAACATTTTCTAAATATAATCACCATCTTATAAACCAAAATAGGGTTAAAATTCACAAATATTAGAAGGGTATTCAAGATCATTGGTTTTAATTCTACAGAAAAAAAAAAAAAGAATAAAGAAGAAACTCAATTATTGAGGAGGAGAGTAATAGGTTTGTAAGTTGTAATGAATTTCACAGTTCACAAAATTAAATAATTGGCCAAATATATAATCCCATTATTGTTTTAAATCATTCAATTTTGCTTCTACTAGTGCCTAATAATAATTAAACTAGAGTGTAGATGAAAATTACA